TTAAATAACATTTATGATTTAATAGGAAATTGTATAAAAGAAACGATTTAAAATGCTGACATCACATAAAGTATAATGAATAGTAAGTCATTCAAAACAACAGCAATCTAATAAAAAATCAAACGAAGTTGATCAAATAAAATATTTGAGGTCTTTTGGTTGACTTATTTCTTTCTTAATTGTGTTAACACCTACATACTCTGGTTGAAGGCTACTTTTCGAACCTAATGAAACAGAAAAATAAGTCTCCATATTTAATTATGATCATACAAGCAAAAATTTAGAAAATTTCAAGGCCATAAAAAACTACGTTTCATTTAAATAATAAGACAAATAATTGTTTGAGGATTATACAAAAATCTATACACTTTTTTGTTTAGAAATGCGTAGCTTTCGACTATTTCGCATTAAATAAATATATAAACTTATATTCACAATATATTTTTATGATTCTCTTCGACAAAACACCCGAAAAGCAAAATCAAAACAAGTTCCTTTTTGGAAAAATCAATACAAACATATGACGCGTAAGTTGAGTAAAGAAGGGTGAATTATAAAGGAAAGCAGCTGGAAAACTGGTTACGTTTCGCATACCTTCAGATTGCCAATGAGCTCCATGAACTGTATGATCTCGCCAAGGCCAGTGCTGAAGCAGGCCTTTGTACCGGCACTGGCCGATGCGGAGGCCACATCATGACAGGAGGCACCCAGTCCAGGGGACTCCACGGCATTGTCCGCCCCGGAGGCCGTGATTTCATCCGCCTTGTGGGCTTGCAGGGGCTCCGCCGCTAGCGATGACATGGCGAACTTGGTGGTGGTTTGCTGCTGCTCCAGGGACTCCACGGCATTGTCGCCCCGGAGGCCGTGATTTCATCCGCCTTGTGGGCTTGCAGGGGCTCCGCCGCTAGCGATGACATGGCGAACTTGGTGGTGGTTTGCTGCTGCTGCTGTTGGGAGGACTTGGCTCGCTGTCCGCTGACCGATTGTGTATGAATCTGACGCTGGATATCCTGGCTACGCTGCTCCAATAGCTTTCGGGCCAATTGGTGGGCTGATGGAAAATGATTGCCGTGGTGCGCCGACTCCAAATCCGACTCTGATTCGCAGTGACTATAACCGTCCGCGTGCGAGGGTGAATTGTGACTGTCGCTGTCGCCGAACTTCGCCTGACTAGAGAGCTGTGTTGTTGCTTTGGCTATAGCTCTAGCTGTACCTGCCGCTGTGCTTGTGGTCGTGTTTGCTGCCGTCGCGTTGCCCAGGCCCGAAGCAGCCTGTAGAGATCACTGCCTCCGTTCGGCGTAGATGCCGCCGCTCGGACCAGCTGCTGTAGTGAGAACATCGCGGGAGAGCCCAGTCGGACGTATTAAAATCTATACAGAAAAGAGCACATATTTCTTACAGTCGTTTTTGTTAAACAATAATTCAACAAATTACATTGAGTAATTAATTAATATTAGAGATATTGAATGCTTTCTCACAATTTATCATTATTATTTACTGTGTTTTTGAACTAATATGAATAATCAATATTATTAAAAAATTCTTAAACTAATTTTATTAAAATTAATTGAGTTATGTTCCCAATAACTACTTTTGGAAATTATGTCTTATAAAAAGGAATTAGGATAAAGCTTTTAAACATAAATTGTGGTCAAATAGCGATATATAGACACCATGGAAAAATGGCAGGAAAAGTCACGGAAAAAGCATGCATGTTTGCTGGAACAACGTACCTAAATCAGCCAGGTCCGCGAGTACGAGTGGCTGGGAGAGAGTGAGAATGGATCGCGCGTGATCGTTGGCTACAAAATTGTGGCCAGAGTCAAACACGTGATAATTGTATGCCGTCCGCTTGCCCTGTTGGTGAAAGAGAAAGAGAGAGTTACTTTTGGTAACAACAAGAGAGTAAAATATGTATGTACATCTTAAACAAGACAACATTTGTATGCCCTTACAGTTTCAGAAATTATAAAAAATGGCTATACTTTGGTACAAAATATATGTACATAGCATCAAGAGGTTATTCGTAGAGATTCTTTTAATTAAGTTTATCCAATTTTTAATGGGTTTTCGTGGATTAATTAAAGTAAAAGAGAAATTTTGTTACCTACGAAGGTATTCTATTATAAATACTATACTTAATTAAAACCACTAATTCTCTGCCTTTGTCGTGCGGTGGTTCCCATATTAAATATGACTCATTTCTCGGAGTGAATAACTAACTATTCCTGTATTTAGGCAAATTAGTAGTTTCTTTTTGTTTACCTTCAAAATGGTTTTTAATACAATTTAGTAAAGTGCGTTAACAATGACACACAAGATTAAGGGAATTTAGTTATCTTGTGTTGTAATATTTATTCAAATGTCCTGAAACTTGTTATTTAAATTACAAGCCATTTAATCTACCTTGATTGTCTGTAATTTTACGCTAAATTGTCTTAATAATTCGAGAATATTTGTTAATCAACAGTAATTAGTATTGCATTTTATATTGTTATTATAAATTAAAAACATTAACACTTTTGGTGCGTTTCCTGTTAAGTCAGCGCTGATGCAATAGACATGTCTGAATTACACACTTTTTTGGGCAAGAATTAACGAATAAACGAAATAAATTTAACAATTGCTTATTTATTGCGAAAAAACAGACACGAAATACAAATACTAATACAAATGTATTTATTTCATTTTTGTGGGTCGTTCAAAGTGCAATTAAGAAACTGAAACAATAAAATCGCCTTATCAGCTGTCCACACTCTTCTTTCCCAGACTCCCATATAAACATAAATGTACATTTGGGTTCATAACAATAGAATTCAAGAGAATTTCTGTTAAATATTCAATTAGTTTTAATTTTATTATTATTATTATTTATATTGTATATTGCAGTTTGTTAATTTAAATGTAATCATATTGTCTCAATACTTAGATCGATTAATTAAAATGTATTTGTGATTTCAATATACGAATATATATTATTGGTTATTGTTTATTGATTCCTTTAATTTTAAATAATTTTTTAAATCTGTTGATTCAATTTATAGATCACATCAAATGTTGTTCTCTAGAAATGGCCACAAACTATGATTTTGAACGTAACTGTATGCAGGCTACCTTGACACCACTATTTTCGCTCTCGCGGTGTAAGAAGTTCCGTTCAAAATAACGACAAATAAATAGGAAGTGATTCTAACAATTTGACAGGCACTTCAAGGTGAAGGCGGCGTTGTGTGTTAGTGTGCGTCGTGTGGCACGTAAGCACCGTTAGTTTGATGTAATATTGACGACTAAGAGCTCTGCCCGCCGATGGCAAACTAAAACTTTTAATTCGCGACGACGACCGCCGGACACAACGTTTGTAATTAGGAATATAAATATCACTAAGCTAATATAGACACACAGAGACACCCACACTGCACACGCGCAAAACTACACAATAGCGGCCACAAAAACAATAGAGGCGGTAGAAATAGTTAAAATTACTAACGGAATTTATGCAACAGCACAACGGCGGCAGGCTGCATTCTGCGGCGATGAATATATTTGAATCCGCTTTCTCAAACTCTCTCCCGCGTCCTCTCTCCCGCAACAACAAAGTTGCGCGCTCTTTTATTTAATTGTTTAGATTTTCCGAAGAAATTGCACAATTGTCTTGTTTTTAGGATACCACTAGTAAGACCGCAGGGAAATGAACAATAAATACCGAAAAACGCCAGCTTTGTAAAAAATACCGTCGGGCTTGTACGAACAGCTGATTGGCGGGCGAAACACAAACAAACTGTTTAAAGAGCAAAATTTACCTTTTTACCCTTACTTTAAAAAATCTTTTAACAATTCTTAAAAAAATGTTATTTTTTACATCACAAAGTGAGAAACATTGGGGTTGCTATTTTACAAAAATCGCAGACAGTGTCAAGAATTTAAAATGTGAATAATACTGAATACAAATTAGTGTATTTCAGTAAAAGAAGCCGCACTAAGCGCGTTGGTCCTACCATTTCTTTTCCCACCCAGCACATGTTTGTTATTTTTTTGTACATAAATCAAAATTAATAATGTTGGCGCCAATCAAGCATTTATTGAGCAACTACCGGATAGTTTTGGCGAGCGGCTCTCCGAGGAGACAGGAACTGGTGAAAATGCTGGTAAAACCAATCTGATAATGTCCACAGACTGTTTTATTCAGATTTATATTTTACAATTCAAGGGCCTGAACGCGGAGCTGTGTCCCTCGACTTTCGAGGAGAACCTGAATCTGGATGACTTCAAGGAATTCTCGGATTATATAGAGGCCACAGCTATGGGAAAAGCGGAGGAAGTCTTCTCCAGATTAAGTGCCTCAGGGGATAATAAGAATCTTGTAGTTATAGCTGCAGATACGATGGTGACTTTGGGAAAGGAGATCTATGGAAAGCCCAAGGATGCTGCTGATGCTATTCGCATGCTGACCAAGTAATTACCAGAATCGAATTAATTCTTTATATAATTTTTACCCACGTTCCAGTATTTTGTACGGTTTAAATTTAAGAATTTTACCACTGCTTTAGATCAATATGTTATATTTCACAGTTTGTCTGGAACCTCCAATCGAGTATTTAGTGGCGTTGTTCTGAAACATGCCAATGGTATTCGTAAATTTACGGACACGGCGGATGTTTACTTTGGTGATTTGCTGCCAGAACAAATTCAGAGCTATGTGGACTCAAAGGATCCATTGTAAGATAAAGCCCCCGAATTAACGTTCCATATTAGTTAAAATTGTATCCATTCAGAGATAAAGCAGGTGCCTATGGCGTTCAGGGCCCTGGTGGCGCCCTCATCCACCGTATCGATGGTGACTTTTACTGCGTGATGGGCCTGCCTCTTAATCGACTGTGCTGTGAACTAAATAAACTCTTCCTAGAGGATCTCTCCCCATAATTGGCTTGTCAACGCCGCGCCCATCACATTTAAACTATCTGGAAGTTTTGCGGCAATAAGCGTCAGAGGCTACACACGCTCTGGTGATTTTAATCTTGGCTGATAAGCGGCACTGTATCTCTCTCTGCCTTGCCGTGGATTTGTTTGTTTTTGTTTTGTTTATGGCTCAAATCAATTAAAAATAAGAAAACAATAATCGCGAGGAGAGAACCTAACAAGAGAGAAGAGTACAGTGGTTAAATAATAAGTACTAATGTGAATTTATTGTTAATGTTTGGGACGCTTCTATATAATTTACAATAAAATTGTAACATTCTTATATTAAAAAATTATAAGTATAAGTGTGTTTATAATGAAATTTATTAAAAATGACTAGCATTAAATTTAAATTATAGACTTTATTGTACATATTTTACAAGCTTTGAGGGCCAAACTGCGATTTTGACATTTGGTGCCCCGATTTATATATTTTAATTTTATTTCTGAAGCGTTTTTAAATTCCTTTTTAGAATTAAGAATTTGTCTTCCCTATTCTTTATATTCTATTCTATTAGGAAAGTGGAACCGGGTATTCTGTAGTCGGCACACTCAATTAAAATGTTTTAAACCACTGTTTGCTTTGTGTGTTCCACAGCTGACTTGTTCTAATCACTCTCAATTCGTAAAAAACCGAGCAACATATTATTTTTGAAAGATAACACGATTATATAAACAATAAAATATTGTATTCGTGAGCAGCGCGATACAGAAAACTGATTTTAGTAGACATTAAACGGTTACGAAGAACGGATCCATCATGTCCCAGAAACTGCAGCCACCCGCGCTCCCCAAGAACTGCTACCAAATGTGGGGCGGTCGCTTCAGCCAGAAGCCACATGAAGCTCTGCAGGTGCTGAACAACAGTCTGCCATACGATTCCCGGCTATATGCGGATGATCTGGATGCCAGCAAGGCCTACGCAGAGGCTCTCCACCGAGCAGGTCACCTGGACGCAGCGGAGGCGGATAAGCTGGTCAAGAGCCTGGAGCTATTGCGCTTCGACTGGATTGAGGGAACAGTGAAATTTAAGCCAGGAGATGAGGATGTGCATACGGTAAACGAGCGGCTGCTGGTGGAGATTACCGGCGAACTAGGGCAACGTCTGCACACTGGACGAAGTCGCAACGACCAGGTGGTCACGGATATGAAGCTGTGGCTGCGCAAGGCTATCCGCGAGACCCTGGGCCGCCTGAGCCGCGTCATAGAAACAGCCAGTCGTCAGGCGGAGCATCACCTGGGCGTCCTGATGCCAGGATACACGCACCTTCAGCGCGCCCAGACCGTACAGTTCTCCCATTGGCTACTGTCCCATGCATTTGCCCTGCGAGAAGATGGCCTGCGGCTGGCAGAGCTACGGGAGCGCGCCAATGTCTTGCCTCTAGGCAGCGGCGCCCTGGCGGGGAATCCCCTTGGGATCGACCGCTTATGGCTGGCTGAGCGCCTGGGTTTCTCGGGTGTGACACCCAATAGTATGCATGCGGTAGGAGATCGCGACTTTGTAGGTGAGTCTAGGGGAAGATCTCTCATGTCAAAAGATCACTTTCTTAAGTCATTTCAAAGTCGTCGATACTGCAATTAGCACAATTGATTTCTTATCAGCGTGCCGCCTGGAGGAGATTATTTCAAGGGGTGTCTGATAAGAAGGGCTCGGTGCCCTATATTCTCGAAGTCTTTGGGTATATTTGTTTGAAGAGAAATTAAGTATTTCCAAAAAATATGTTGTAATATTAAGTAAACTTAATTTTTATTTTTATAATATTTACTTTGTAAAAAGTCTTAAAAAATAGCTCTTCCCCAATAATAACAGATAATCATACGGTTTTCAATTCTTTCAGTTGACTTTATTTACTGCTGCTCCTTGGTCAGCCTCCATTTGTCCCGTTTGGCCGAAGATCTGATCATCTACAGCACCAAGGAGTTCGACTTCATCCGTCTGGCCGATAGCTTCTCCAGTGGCAGCAGCCTGATGCCTCAGAAACGGAATCCAGATAGCTTGGAACTGATTCGTGGCATGTCGGGTGTGATCACCTCAAATCTGACAGGCATTATGATGACCATTAAGGGCACACCGTCCACCTACAACAAGGACCTGCAATTTGATAAGGAGTATTGCTTCCAATCATTTGATAAGCTCTCCCAGATGCTCGAGGTAGCCGATGGTGTCCTGCAGACAATGCAGGTGCAGCAGAATTCGATGGAAGCTGCCCTCAGCACTGATATGTTGGCCACAGATTGGGTGAGTAGAATAACTTCCCGATTATACTTTCTATTTCCCTCTTTCTATGATTATAATGCCTCATATATATGCATTCCAGGCTTACTATTTGGTAAAGAAAGGGTTACCCTTCCGTCAGGCACATCATGTTATTGGCCGTGTGGTTTCCTTGGCCGAGGAGCGTGGTGTGGATATCACCGATCTGCCGCTGGGCGAGCTGCAAGCCTTCTGTCCCTCCTTTGGGTCCGACATAGTCAGTGTGGCGGATTACTCTAATAACGTGCAGCAGTACAATGCCATTGGTGGCACCTCCAGTGCCAGTATTGTGGAGCAGCTAAGGCTACTCAAGAAGTTCGCCAAGGATTTGCGCAAGCAGTCCTAGCTAGCAAGGACCAGCGCTTTATTTCGTTTGAATTTTTGGTTTTTTGATTAACAAATTAAAAAGTTACATTTACAAACGGATCTCTTTGGGTGTTCTAATAGGTATAAATATATATATGACTCCCACCAGAGCTTAGTTAACGCTGGGACTCTGGGGTGTATAGGTGTAAGGTTCGTGGATACCCTGCTCGCCGTTGTCCAGTTGCTGGTAGCCGGTAACCGCCGAGTTCTGGGGCGGACCCATCTTTCCGCCGGATATGAGAACTCCAAGACTCTGCTGCAGCTGCCAGCGACGAGCCTCGCGAATGGACTTATTCCGGCGCAGCGTTTTGGCCAACATGAAGGCGCAGAGAACACCCAAGAGCTGGACAAAGGCTACAGTGGTGGCTCCGGTGGCAATCAGCATGGCGCTTTGCGACACAATGAAGTTCATCTTGCGGAAGCAACCATAGTTGAAGGTCTGATGGCAGGTCACCTGGGTGTGAGTGGGATCGGTGACATCCTCTTCAAGGCTTCCGCAGCACGAGTTGGGCACAACGACATCATCGGAGCCAAGGGTAAGGTTCTTGTTGGGAGAATAGTAGTCCATCCAATCCTCAGGCTGATTGACTCCGCAGCACTCAAGCTGTCAGAAGAGGAGTGATTAATAAATTTATAGTCGTTATTATATTATAGTAAACTTACTCCAGATTGCATAAAGTCCACTCCAGATGCCACATAGGGATCACTCTCGTATTCGGCCAGAGCCTGGTGCATCGTTCGGATCAGCATGCCGCGCACCTGGGACTGCATCACGAAGGCGGCAATGGCAGCAGACACCTCCAGGATAAAGACCAGGAACAGGCACACTCCGTACTACAAAATTTAAGATCGTAGACATAACTTCTAAGGACCTTAAATAATATTTTTCCACTTACCAGATTAATGACCATCACACTCTCCTTGACAGCTCCATAGGCTCCCAGAGTGGCCACTGCAATGAGGATGAAACCAATGGCAATAAGGAGCGCCGGGGGCGAGGAGAAGTGTCCATCGATGAACAGGCTGAAGTCACCAAAGATCGCCTGGATGGTGGTACCCACCATGATGAGCAGGATAGCGGTCAGCTACGAGAGGGAAGGGGTCCAAGGTCTTTAGGCATTGTATGTGAAAAGGTGATATATTCAGTGTGACTTTGTGTGTACCTCTTGGCAATCCTTCTATTATAATCGAGCAGCTAAGAAAAACAATAATCCCAACCTTGTTTTGTAAACAAAATGCACTGAGAGTAAAGTTCTTCAAACGAATTTGGCTCTACATTATACCTACAGACCATTAAGAGTAACATTTTAAATTCTTAAATATTGGTACTCATGCTTTGAAAGAAAAAGTAATTTTGAATTTCTAGAATTTTGTCTTAGTGCACTTACATCAAGTCAGTGTCATATTTATCAGATATTTACTGAACTGTTAGAATGCTTTTTCCTTTTGTTGATTCATTATTTCATATCTTGTTTGCTTTAACTGCAAATTCGAATGATTGCCCTGTACTCCAGTATGTCAATAATTTAAAATAATTAAAATATAAAACATTTAAATCCATCACCCATTTGTAATTTCTTAATTTAACAGTGGTATCAAAAATATTTTCGTATTTATTGTATTTGTAGTTTTTCCAAGATATTAAATTGTAATTTCGTCTTGTTATCTTATCGAAATGAGTAATATGTATACACATTGAAGGCAACTAAGATAACTGAATGCTGGTGAAATAATTTTTGAAAATATATGATTAATATTATGAAATATAAAAGATATAAAAAAATAATCTTTATATAAATTTTAAATAGATTGATGAATATTTATATTATAACAATTTAATAATTGAATGCTATAGATCGATTATTATAAATTACAAAAGGTAAGCATCATTTTATTTCTGAGGACTGCTGTCCACATAGTGACGAAGAGCACTGAGTGAGTCCAGAAAATATAGAAAAGAAATTACTATATATCAGTTATAATATGAGTGTTTTATTAATATAACCCACTCTAAAGAGTTCGTCTTCTCAATTTTGCTTAAAATAAAAATGATAAAATAAAAGTAAATTCAAAGCACGGAAATTTTCGTATCGTTCTTGACCGCTTTCTTTTCGTTCTCTTCGCTCTCTCCAGGTGAGCGACTTACGTAGGCGTTATAACATGATTCACACTCAAAAAAACCTATACTCGCTGAAAGCTGATAAGGAAATCGCTCCGTGTGATAAAAAAAGAACGCGCAAAAGAGTGAAAATGAATCAAGATGGCGGCGGAGTCGTGACTCACGCGGATCAGTAGCAGGATCAACTCACCGCAAACATAAAGCTCACGATAATGAGCATATATTTGGCGCACCTCATGCCCGAATTGAGCTGTAAGTCGCGATTCGCCATTTTGCAGTTCGTATTGTCGCTCGTCGGCTGTAATGTAAGTGTAAGTGCAAATTGTTAATAACTGCCACTTTCCGCAATATAGAGTATATAGTATATAGGGTATTATATCGTTCGCCAGAAATTGTCGCGACCGCTAATGGTAGAGAACGTACTTTAACTTTTGCTAGTCACACGTGAACTGAGTGGCAAAACGGTAAACGCAATTGAAGCACTGCGGTTCAGTCGCTCTCTCTATGTCGCTCTCTTTTCCCTAAGCTCTGCCAAGTGTCGTCTGGCCTTGCCACCCACTCGCAGCTACACTGGGAAATAAAAATCTTAGAAAGTTGTAAAAAATGTTATTATAAAAATGATAAAGTCGGTAAAAGTAAATATTATTGCGAGCTAATTAAAACAAATTTATTATTTAATGAGCTTAGACTTTCGAAACTAAATTTTTGTATGTGTTAAAATGTTAAAAAACTTTAATTAATACTTCAATTAAAAATCAAGTGAAAACATATTTTTAAAATTTTTTCATCTGTAACTTCCACTCTCTGGAAAGCTTTCCAATGGAGGCTTATCAAGAGACGCTTATCAAACAAACTATTGTTCAGAGTCTTCCAGTTAGGCAAATATAAGATAAGATAACGATTCCATTGTTTTCATTAAAGAATTATTTTGCAACGGAAATTTGGAAATCGAATATTGGAGCAAATCAATGAAACTTTTAGTAAAACTCCCATATAGTTCATTCAAGTGACTACCAACTAGTTTACTTACACATATGTGTAATATCTGATATTAAGGTTCAAGTTCACCTGTCAAGGCCACCCACCTCAATCGAGTATATTATCGATTTAAATTCATTTTTAACTGAGTCAACTCGTATGGTTTATCGATTTTTTAATCGCACTGCATTTCCGAATAGTTTAAATTATTCAGAGGTAAACACAGGTGTGTCTACCCATGAGTATGCCAGCTTTTTTGTCTGTCTGAGCTGGAAAACAACAAATAATATGTACATAGGTCTGGCCGGAGTCAAAATATTATAAATATACTAGCTGTACCCTGCCACGTTTCTCTGTGGCATATTATGGTTAAGAGGGCACTTCTGAATACATCAAGGTTCTGGCAAAATCATCTTCCTGGCATAAGGTGAAGAAGGCAGTCAGAGTTGTCGCTGGCCGATTCAGGACTCTTTCTTGCACATTTTTTTCTGTGAAATAGACACGTTGACCATTCTCCAAATGGACTGCCACGTTTCTCTGTGGCATATTGTGGTTGAACGCATAAGAAATAAGTCAAACAAAAAATAATCATTTTCAAATTAATTTAATTCTGTAATACTTGTTGGTATACAATATTCTTTGTTTCTCCATTCTCCGCGTAAATATAAAGACTTTTTGGTTTTCCGACTCGTGAACACGCAACATATAATTGTCCGTGTGAAAAACAATCTTCATCCAAATCCAGACCACACAACTCCAGAGATTGACCTTGAGCTTTATTTATGGTCATTGCAAACGCCAAACGAATGGGAAACTGCAATCTCTTGAACTGGAACGGTGTATCTGTCGGGATCATAGGAATCCTAGGAATGAGGACATCTTCACCTTTGAAAGGACCAGTTATGATCTTTGCTTCTACTATGTTGTTCATCAATTTCTTGACTGCGAGTCGCGTACCGTTGCAGAGTTTCGGCTGTTTTATATTCCGGAGCATGATAATCGGCACACCTATTTTTAATTTTAATATGTGTGGTGGCATTCCAGGCAGATCAAGTGAGTTTAGAAATTCGGTAGGGTAATTAACTGCTTCATCTGCCTCCACAACGGTATCTATCGACTTATATGTAATTTCGTCAGTTTCTAGGCTTTTTGGATTACATGATTGAACTGGTAGACATCTTTGTCCTTGGCAGCGAGAATCGCTCGTCCACTGAGCCAATCGTGATTCCTATTATTTATTCGGATATTGGGGAACACTTTTTGGATAAGTTCTTCCTTCGATGTAACTAAATTACAGAAATTCCCGGGCAATACTATTTTTCTCGACGTCTCATTGACTGGCAGCTTTCCGTTCCCAATGTCCAGTAGCTGTCGTGAGAATACGTCGGCTGAGTCATCGTTCTGTAACTGGACACGCATATTCGTCTTCAACTGTAATGTACGTACATGTTTCCACAATATAGAATATTTCAGGCAAGCATTTATCTCGTCAGCTGGTGTCGATCGGGAAATCACAGGCAACGTTTGTCTGAAATCCCCTGCGAGCAATATTAACGCGTTCCCATGCATTGCTCTCAGCCGCTCAGTCTCTCGGAAGGAGGCCCGTTCTTCGTCAGTCATATTCGTAATCTTACGTCTTTTTGCTTCTGTATTGCGAATACAACGACCCAATCTCGACTTTTTTGGTGGCATGACTTCGTTTCTTACTGAACCTGAACAAAAAATAAAATTTGTATCTCCAATTTCTTCTTTGAATATGTTTTTAATGTTTGACAGGAAATGCTTTGATTTGCATGTAGAGGGCGCAGTAGTAGGGGCACGGGGAAACGCTAAAAAAATAGATATATTCGCAACCGCAGATAAGCTATCAACATCAAAGGTAGTCAATAACCGAGCTGGAACCTCAACGCATGTTCTCTAAAAATTTGGGCTTAAACGGTTCAGAACTTTTCAAGTTTCTTCTTTCAATATGTTTTGAATGTTTGACAGGAAATGCTTTGATTCAGCTGGCTGCCTGTAGATGGCGCAGCAGTAGGGGCACTTGGAAACGCTAAAATAATAGATATATTCGCAACCGCAGATAAGCTATCAACATCAAAAGTAGTCAATAACCGAGCTGGAACCTCAACGCATGTTGTGTAAAAATTTGGGCTTAAACGGTTCAGAACTTTTCGAGTCTATGAAGGATGTAGACACGAACAGAGCATTTTTATATATATAGATTTTATATTTAGTAATTATATAGAAAAAATTGATATACGCCTTTAATAAATGTAGCTTGTCCTTATTGTTTTGTTTTTATTACATCCTTTAATGTTAAAAACGCAATTTTTTATTCTTAAAAGGATTACTGCTTTCTATCATCTCTGTATGCAATGCATTAAAAATGTTATGGCCTAATGCGATAAGATTGGATTGGTAGACTCGAACCAATATCAACCCAATAAGCCAGATAAGCTGTGGAAAATAAAAGAAACAAAGCCCGTATACGTATTAACAATAATTTCAACACGTACGAAATTTTAAGTACCAATTAAATATATATTTTTTATTCATTTAAGCATTACACAGAATCAAACAAATTTAGCAGTGTCTTAAAGTTAAATAGCCGCACTCGGATCATCTAGCAACCGACTGTTTCTTGATTTATATAAATCCAGTTATGCCATTACGGATCTTGATCTCCCGGGCAATATAGCAGGCAAAGATAACGCCGAAGAACTAAAAAAATGGAATGAAGAAATCATATATTAATAATTTTATTTGAATACTTATTCTAATAATAATTAGAAGCCTTATCAAACTTTATTCTTGGTATTTAAATGATTTTTGCAGCAAGTTTACAACAAGTAAACACTGGAATAACTTTTTTTCTGATTTTTTGAAACTAAAAAGCAGTCGAACTCACCTGCAGAATGGCAATGACCACGCCCGCTGCTCCCAGGCTGACCGCGTGGGCGGCAATGTAGTCCGAGAAGCCATCGAGACAGCCATTACTGTGGCGAGTGCCCGCACTGGATACTGCGGTGGTGCAATCGAAGCTGCCAACCGTGCCCACCGGAATGTCGCAACAGGACAATGGCAGGTTGATATCACCAAGCGTTGTGCTCCAATCTTTGTAGGAACTTACACCGCAACAGTCAAAGTCACGCTGCACATCGTCCCAGAGCTTTGTGGTTGGATTCTGTTCTAGACTCTTGTATTCACCCATCGAGGCGGTTAGTGACTTTTTGATCAGATCGGAGGCATCGGTGCGAAGTACATAGCCACTAATGCCGGCCGCAAGCTCCAGGATAAAGATGATGGCCAGCATGATCGAGAAGCTAAGCACCAGGCAGTAGTTCTCCTTCAATGCGCCCCAGCAGCCAAAGAACGAGATCACAATGATGAAAGAACCGATCACGATCAGGAAGGTGGGAATTGAGAAGAACTTGCCGGCCAAAAAGAGCTCATAGCCGGTATAGACGGCTCCAACGCCAGCTCCAACGGCGATCAGAATAATGCCAGTGATCTGGAATCGGAATTGTAAATATTATAAGGATTTGTCTTAGGATATCAAGAGAATTCATTTACTGAATTTGTTGTTCTTTTCCTAATAATGAATTGCATTTATTTTTTTACATATTTCCAGGGAATCGCCTTCAAAAATGATTTATTAAGCTTAGTACATATATTTGGTTTGAAATTCAGATAAGATAATAAACTTAAACTTCTTTCTACGTATATTTATATCAATAATGTTTATTTGAAAAAAAATTATTTGCTTTACCAAAATGTTAAATTAAAGAAGACCAACAAAAAATAGTAACAAACTAAGTATATTAGATATACATATTTCATTAGAGCGATTTACTAGGTACTTCCCCTTTCAATAAAGTAAAAAAAACGCTTAGTTTATCTAATCTTTTGCTAAGCTCTATTGGAAAACATTTTCGCCATGGCTATTTGATGACTCATCCGAGTAATGACCATTTTAATTACTTACCAAAAAGATCAAATTAAATCCAAAGAGCGTATATTTCACCGCATTGGCGCTGCCAGTTAGAAGCGACATCGTGTCTTTTTATTGTTTAATGTCTGTAAAATCAATAGAGTTAAAGATAATCAATACTGTAAATAAGTTGAAGAACTAACTAACTTATTAGGCGGGACAGAAATTTAAAACTCAACCGGCTCGAATCGATGTCTAAAATATATTAAAGTGGACTGCAGGCCAGTCTAAACTCTTTCTTCATTTCTAATCAACAAAAAAATATATATATGTATATTGTGTTATCAGTAAATGATATGGCACACACGGCTTTTGTTCAGGCCAAATGTGGTCAACTACCTGTGGTAGTGTTGCTGAGACCTCCGTTTCAGACAAGATAAACGAATATTTTGGAACCGATTAGATAAGATCACACAAAAAAATGTATTTGCAGTTTTATTTTTATGGCGCTAAAATAATAAATATAAATATAATAAAAATTTAAATGTTTGGACTCAATAAAAATTAAAATTTAATCATAATAACGAGAAAATTCTAATTTTTTGGGTTACATATTTAAATGAAATATAATTTACCAACTTAAAACAAATTATATTACTTCTGATTTACTTTAAGTGAATTTTCCGACCACAAAAACTGGACTCCAAGTATTATTCTTATTACATATTAATGGAATTTAATATAATACTAATAACAAGTTTCTTCATTTGCATGATTTGATCATTGCAGACTTGAACTTTACACCACAAAATTTGATTCATATAGAATTATGTCTATCCAGACTTCAAGACAGGTGCTATCAAATTTAAAATTGATACAAGACGCATTTGCCTTTGTACGCGATTACAATTCATTGCATTGATAGGAAAGCCAAAATGCTAAGGGTTCCTCGGCTTATCAGAGCGATGACTCATCACCATGTGTCATAACAGGTGCTATTGGTAGACCAGGTGGCCGATCTTCTATCACTTCATGTTAACAATCAAATCTAGCGGGTACATAATTATGTGCAATTTCATATGAAATTTCTACTTATTTTTCGAGTTGTTAACAAATTTTGCTGAATTTATGAACGTTTTCCTTATCGATGGGGGCCATGGGAACTCAATGAAATGCCACTTGACTGGGCTTTTCACTTCTTTTTTTTTGTATTTAATTTTTATCAGTTATTTCTGCTTTCTACTCACGGCACAGAAAGTAGACAATTTTTAGTTTGACGTGACGGCGGTTGGACAACAACTGAGAGTCGCTTCAATTGACGTTCGCCGGCATGCTCGCGGAGGATTATAAATACGAGCAGTCACTACCTACATATAATCGCGTTTGTCTGCGTGAGTTTAGTGATAAAAAAGTTAACATATATGAAGAAATACTTGACTGAAAAGCTGTGAAAAAGCTTTTCCCTCAGTTAACACTATTCGGCGAAAAAGAGAACTGACAATTGTTTTACAGCTCGAATGAGCGTATTTTATTTGTCTTTTATAGTTCTAGTTTTGATTTGGAAAAATTTCAAGCTATCGTTGTTTGGACAAAATTTATGTATCAATATTAATTAATAATAAAAATAAAAAATTTAAAAGATATTTTTATTAACATAGAATAAATTCTTTTGCTAGATATTTCTGTAATTATTGGTTTCAGAAAAGATTTAAGTTTGCATTTGGTTTACGGGTCGTATGCGTCATTTTCACCATTTTGGTCGTATGAGTAATTTCAATATTTTATTTTTCTTTAAGGATAAGTGTTTTTTCTATGAAAACCTCAAATTTAAAGACAAAATCGAAATCTAACATTGTTATGAGTAATATCTCCTTTTTTATTACATAACAAAATTTTAATGTAAATATAATTTTACTTACGTAGTGGACATTTTATTGCTAAATCTTGCAATAAATATTGGTTTTAGACAATATTAAAAATTGTATTTGGCTTACGGGTCGGATGAAAAATTTTCACAATTTTGTTTTTCGGGTCGTATGAGTACCTTTTTTTTATTTTTTTTCTAGGGTCGTATGGGTAATTTCAATATTTTATTCTTCTTTAAGGATAAGTGTTTTTTCTATGTAAAGAAAAGTCGAAATTTAAAGACTAAATTAAAATCTAAAATTTTTATACGGGGCGTATGAGTAATATCTTATCTCTACATAACAAATTGAAATGTAAATATAGTTTTACTTACATAGAGCACATTTTATTGCTAGATCTTGCAATAAATATTGGTTTTAGGCAAAATTAAGAATTGTATTTGGCTTACGGGTCGTATGAGTAATATCTTCTTTTATTTACATAAAAAATTTTAATGTAAATATAATTTTACTAACATAGAGGACATTTTATTGCTAAATCTTCCAATAAATATTGGTTTTAGACAATATTAAAAATTGTATTTGGCTCATACGGGTCGTATGAGTAATTTTCACCATTTTGGTTTACGGGTCGTATGAGTAACTTTTTTTTTTTATTTTCTTTATGTAAACAAAAGCCGAGTTTTAAATAACATAAAAGTAATAGAAAGGAAATTAAGGTGTCTGATGACATTGAAATTAAGCGTTGTAATACGGGGCGTATGAGTAATATTTTATTTTATTTACATAGAAAAAATCACTTTAAATCTTTTCAAAATAAATAAAAATGAAGTGATGGGTTATTTTACCTGTAAAAGGAAAACACATTAAAATGCAAACCAAATATATCATTGAAAAACGTATTAAATTTATTTTCATTTACTTTCTCTTGTCGTATACTAAATGCTATCGAAGAATATATATGAGTATCATTTGTTATTTTATAAAATTTAGTATTTAGTTTAATTTTGGGGGAATTTGCTGGCATAATTTTAATACTTGAATTTCGAGTGCAATGCCAAAGCGAGTGTGTGGTGTGTGTGTGTTTTGTGCGTTTTGTTTGGTGTAAAAATGTGTGGAAATGCGAACAGGAACTGGGAACTGGAACATTTTCATAGTCACATTTTCAAATCGAGTTATTAGTTGTCAATGTGTTGTTAGTTGGGTTTCGTCAACATTCGGTGTAATTTGTTTGAAATTTTTTTCACAATTCCAGAAAATCTCAAAAATTACCAACAAAAGTCTCATCGCTCGCTCTCTAGCTCGTTCGTGTGGTTAGTAGGTATTAAGAATAGATATATATATGTGTCTATGTGCATATATCGTTTAAATTAATATGTTTATTGTTTTAGTAGTTCGCTGGAAGGGAGTCCTCCTGGTTCCCGCAACTATTTCCTATCCTTGCCGTGACGATCTCGCTGGTGCCTGGTGGAAGCTGCTATTGTGGTGGTGGTCAGACTGTGGACGTGATGTGGCTGCTGCTCCCGATGACCGTGTACAGATCCATGATGCTTCTTGCCGCTCTGCTGGTGCTGGCTAAGATGATGTCCAGTCAGTGTGCTTTTACCGTGTCTGAAGATGAAGAGGATTTCCTGATTAGTTCGGACTTACTGCCACTACTATGGTTATTATAGTTTAATAGTTTTTCTACAGTTCTTAGGATAGTATATGTCTATATATATATATTTCCAAACAATGCTACTCCACTACTACGCAGTTCCAGTTTGCTAAGGAAAAAATAGAATAGAGCGAGGCTTGATGTTGATGTCGTTTCGATTTGGGTTTTCTTTTCTTTTTTTTTGTTCTTGTATTACTACCAATTTCATGTATTGCTTCAGTTGTTTCATCTATATACTTTTTTTCTGGTTTCCAGCAACATGTTCATAGTCAGTTTTTAGAGTTGATTCTACAGATAGAGTGCGGTGTGCATGAGTTTAGAATTAGAGTTTAGTCGGAATAAGTTGAGTTAATTGTTGGCAAACATGCAAACACGTCAGATAATGGTTAATAATCGATAGAAAATAAAAATTGTTACTAAATTTTTAAGTGAATTATACTACTTTTTGGTTTTAGAAATCAAATATTTTAGTGCTATTTGGGAAATTACAATAAATAGTTATTCTTGACCTGCCCTTTAGTGTCCAAACATGCAGTAAGGCTTTAGTTAGGAAGGAAATTAAAAAATTTGGAAAATAAACGCTTACGCTGTGAAAAGTAAAACAGAACCAGACGGGCCCCTTTTTCTTTTTATATTTTTTTTTTGTGCGAGTATAACTTTGCCGAGTATATATATTTTTTTTTTGGTTTGTGTGCGCTCTCCGAAATAAATAATATAAGAGGTCTAGTATTAGTAGGGAACACAGTGATTGGGTGTGGATATTGGTTAGGATAAAAATGTTCGGTTTTCGCATTCAAACGATTTCGTGCACTTGGTGGATTATTATTTATTTGTATATTTTTGTTGTGGGTGCTTGGTCTGCGAACAAGTACTCTGTTTAATTTTCTCTGTGTGTATTTTCTGGGCTCTGTGTCCAACGCTGACTATGAACATGTGCAGATGCCGAAGGGCTGATGCGTGGACACACTGCTGCGCACTTGTCGCATCCTCAGACGCTTTGGCCAGCCACCCAAACGTCCTCGCTCCGCCTGTTTCCTTGTCCCAGTCCATGCTCCCGCTCCAGCTCCTCCTCCTCCTCCGCCAAAGAGCTGGGCGTGATCATTGCTGAGATTATTCTGATATGGACGCAGCTTCTTGGCCTCCTCACTGGTGGCGTACAGCAGGTAATTGTCATAAACATGGCTCACACTTGAGTTCCGCTTGGCGGGCAGGTAGGGCAGGAAGGCAAAACTGGAGCTGGTCGACTGGGTGGCCTTCAGGGAGGGTTTCCGGCGGTTGCTGCGGCAACGGAGCGTGGACTGATTGGAGTAGCTGGGTGGAATCATTTCCAACTTGGTGCGATACTCATAGCTCGGTGTGGTTGCCACGGGCACAGGGATTAGGGATCGTTTGCGTTTGCTACGCGGCGGTGGTTGTGGAGTGATCTCCGAAGGGATCTCCGTCTCCTCAATGCTGGCATAATCTGCTTCCTTTGGCGATTCTCCTTCAGGTAATTTGCTGCTACTGAAGCTGTCTTGTGTTTTGGTTAAATTCGTATTCGTTACGTATACGTACGTCAGTTCGTTGTGCTGTGTGGTGCTTGGTGCTGTTGTGCTTGCTGCTACTGCTACTGTTGCGGCTGCTGCTGATGCTGATGCTGATGCTGCTGCGGAGGAGGATGATGATTTATGCGCTGTGCTTTTCGATGATGATTTCAATGATTTCGATGTGGCTGTTGTGCCTGTCGTTGTTGTCGTTGTGCTGGACTTTTTATCGTGGCTA